ACCCATATAAGCGACCTAGTGCTAAAGATATTAGTTCAAAACTTTTAAAATGGCGCATGATTGTGATGAATCCCTCATTAGCTCGCGAAGAATCAAATATTTTAAGGAGTTTTATTTCTGCTGATGACGAGATCAAAACAAAGGAAATTACCTTGCAGAATTATCAAAGCTCAAAGTACACTAGCAAATTAATTAATACTAAAGAGATTAAACTAGCATATGAATCAACTAAATATGAATCAATTAAATTCCGAGGTAATCCTTGAAATTTTGTGATAATTATTCATTATTATTCTACTTTTACCCGGTTAAAGTTACCCGGTGATTTTAACCCGGGTGAAAATAGAATTTCCCTTGTCTCATTTTTAATAATTATTGTATTCATTTTTCATTTTAAATCTATATAATAGATTCGACAATATATGATCTTAGTGTATGAGATCTGTGCGATATAATGGCATTAACCGTCAGGTTACTATGGCATGGCGTTAAATTACTCGGGTTATTTGGCAAAATTTGATAATTTATTTTGGTTATTTGGCAGAAATTGATGGTTTATTTTGGTTATTCGGCAAAATTTGATACTTACGTAGCTTATTCCATTCTATCAGGATGTACGTATGTACGTATGTTTTTTTTTATGAGATATAACTAGAATGCTGTAAAGCGTACTTTGCGTATAATATATCGAAGTGTTCGAGTAGTTTCTTATATTTTAAAATTCACTAAATAGGTCAAAGTAATTAAAGTCATTTCTTGTTATAAATTCACTAGACAGATCGATACATTGAAAATAGTTGCTCGTTCTGTAAATTTTAATAGTAAAGTGTTTCAGAATTAACATGCTAGAATCTAAATAGATAATGTATTTATTTTCAAATTACGATATATCAATTTCCGATAAATTTATAATAATTTTTGCCGTTGAAAAGTTTATTTCGTTAAATCTGTGTCTCTAAACTCCTATTTCATATTCTGATTTCAAAATATTGATACGCAAATAAGATTATTAAACAGCCACTTATTTCCAAAATACACTATTTTTTTTATTAATAATAAAGTCTTTAGTTTTAAATTTCTTTATATAATCGAAGCATGTACGGTGGATTTCCACATTTTAAAATTCACTAGGTAGGGCGAAACACTTGAAGCAGTTTTTTACAATTGGATAAATCGAAACAACTTAGTGAAGTTCCTTTTCGTATTTTAAAATTTTCTGGATGTTGGTTTATAATAAAAACTCTACACTATTGCTTGTTTACATGATCCGTTTTTATGCATATTATCTTTTGATTTATCGTTATATATTTTTAATTAAACCTTCTCCACGTTATGCCCGATTGCCGTAATCTGACAGCACCAATAACTGTCGTATCTGAGTCAGATACTTTATGTAATAACGTTAAGTGGATATACGTCTTCTGGAAAGCAATTTCGTGACAATATATTTGGTTGTATAAAAGGTGATAGTAACGCGCCTATATTTTCTTATAAGCAAGATCTTATGCGTGTAAGTCTAAATGTTATACTAATGGGAGTTACTGTAATGTTAATAATAATAATAATGCTAATGTTGATATTATTATGGTTATAAGTTCAATCTTAAATACACTCCGAAACATTAAAGAAATTAGTGTTTTTACAGCTTTATAGGCTCTGTAGTTTGGACTTTATAGATTTTCAAAAATTTTTATTTACTAAGTTTTACAATTAATGTCAGGTATTGTAAAAGATTTTGTTAAATACTTATTTATACTATAATGAATAGAATAGTTTGATTTCATTTTGGTTTATTTTGTCTATATATTTTTTTTCTGAATATGTATATATTTTTAACGAACAACCCAGTGTCGCTATGACTTTCCTACGGTACCCACAAAAATGTCACCACTACGTATCCAATAGCAGAGTTCTTTATGTTAGGGTTAATGCCTCGATTAGTGTTAGGATCTAGGTAATTATATAGTAAAATTGCTCAAGGAAAACTTTTTGTTAGCGCACGAAAGGTGGTTTCTTATGAAAACTTTGGAGAAATAAGCGATTTTTGCAAAAAAGACGTTTGTTCTGGTCATGCTATGTTACACTAAATTATGATTCATTGACCAATATCACAACTATCCCAGTAGGACCGTGAAAGATGCACCAATTAGACCTCTTAAAATATTTGACACCAATAATATCTCCAAATCAGGTGTAACGTGACAATCATGATTTTTTTTAAAAAAAACTGCTGATAACTCAAAATATTGTCTATGAAACTACCTTCTGCGCACTAAAAAAAATTCTTTACAATTTTAGTACAGAAAATGCTCTATTATAACTAGGAGTCTGCAACCCAGGCACGTGCCTGTGCCCAACAAAAAGCCTGGGCATGGGCATAGGCATAAAAACTCAGGCACGGGCATAGGTATGTGCATAAAAACCCAGGCAAAGGCATGGGCACAGGCATAAAATTTTGGCATGGGCACAGGTATAGGCACAAAGAATTTGGCACAGGCATGGAAATGGGCACAAAGATTTGGCATAGGCATGGGCATGGGCATAAAATATCTAGCATGGGCATAAAAAACTTGGGCATGGGCATGGGCATGGGCACAAAAATTTGGCACAGGCATGGGCATGGGAATACTATTCTTCAGATTTTTTTAAAAAAAGCAAAACCCCAAAACCCAAAACCTGAATGATTTTTCAGCTGATTCAATTAAGTTATTGATTTCGGCAATGATCGGTATATATTTTTATTAGGGGTCTGCAACCCAAGCACGTGCCTGTGCTCAACAAAAGGTCTGGGCATGGGCATAGGCACGAAACCTCAGGCATAGGCATGGGCACAGGCATGAAAACTCAGGTATAGGCATGAACATGGGTATAAAAAATTGGCATAGGCATAGGCACGACACAAAAAACTTGGCATAGACATGGGCATAGACACAGAAATTTAGTATTTATTATTTAATTATGCCTGGCACTTTGCCCAGCACCTGTGTCCAGCACCTTGTGCCTAGTACTTTGTGCCCATGCCTTTGCTAGTGCCCGGCACTTTGTGCCCATGCCTTTAATGGTGCCC